TTGGATTTTAAATTTAAATATATAAAGACCTTCAAATATGATAATGACTAGATTTTTTGTTATAAGTCCGTCATACATATGTAGCTGTTAGAGCGTCCGCCTAGAAAGCGGTAGGTAAATGGTTCGATTCCAGTAGGAAGAGAAAAAATTTTTAATTTTTCTACCTTGACTTGTCATCCATCTGTTCTGCAACTGTCTGAATGGGATTTTCATTAGTCATTCTTATAACAAAATGTTATATTGGTTTAGCTTGTTGCTGCAGATAAATTTTATTGATGTAGTCAGTCTCTAAATACAATTTTTTAATAATTATCATGAACTTTATTCGATTTAAATTAAAACACATTTTCTTCAATTACCCCCTATTTATATGTATATATATATAAAATTACCCTGAGCCCGAATAATAAATAATATGTTTACAAATTATTCTCATGGTAATTTTCATATTTAATCATCCTTTTCATTTTTAATAATAAACTTTAATTTAAAATTTATTTCATATTATGTTTAACCGAAAAGCATACATACTACATACATACATAAAAAAAAGGATAAAATATGATTTTCATTTTTTTTTTTTGGTTTAGAACAAAAATGTTAAATAGTAGCTAAGGGAATTCATTCATGATTTTAAAAAATTGCCAAGTTATATCATAAAAAAATATAAAAAAATAAAATGACAAAAACCAAAAACAAAAATGCATTTACTATAAAAAACAAAAAATATTAAAATATTATATAATATGTACAGGGTGTTCAAGGCTCCATGATATTTTCGAACCTGAGTTACAGAGTGGATGCAGAACAGTAACAAAAACATTGAGAGATATTTTCCTTTTTTTCGCATTCCTTCCCAAATAATAAGGCTTCAAAGTAGTGATGTTTTTGGAAAATCGTTCATAAGTTTTACATATTTTCGTATAACATGGGAAATATAACAGACAACTTGGTCTTATAAATATAACTTGGTGCATCATTTCAAAGCTCATTAATTTCCCTTTCCAACGGTTCTTGTCCTGATATAAAAAACCTCTATAGCCCATGGAATATATCAAAAAAAAATTTTATAACACCTTTTCCTTTAATCATTGTTTACTCGCAATTACACATTACATATAAAATAAAAGGTGATATTCTAGCTATTATTCTCACATAAAATTTCAAGAATATAGATATATTTACGACACGCCTTTAACTGTCATATTTCCTATAATATATGCAAAAATTTAAAAATTATAGATGGTTTTCAGAAAGATCAACTTTTAAAATCCCATAACTTGAGCTCTATTTAATGATTTTCATTCTATCACTGTGCTCCAGAACCACCATAAAATCTCGGACATCCTGTATACAAAGAGACCTATATATATATATATATATTATATATGTAAATATATATCCACTAAAATATATTGCTAAACAAAAATATACGCGTGCAATGATAAAACCCCAAAGCATATTAAAAATCATAAACAATTTTTTTTTTTTTTTAATAATTTACTTGGGAATTAATCTTTTTATAAAAGCAGAGAAAAAATTATGATTTTATTTTAGGTTTTGACTTTAAGATAATCAAAAAAAAAAAAATTTAATGTCCTATACACGCTAATATTTTATGCGTGCGTGTGTGTGTGTGCGTTGCGTTAAAATTGTGTGGGAAAATCATTTTTAATATTTTAAAAGTTTAATTCTAACCTGCACACGTTTAACAAACATATTGGAATTTGGATTTGTTCACACGATTTTCTTTTATGATAATATTTTTGCATACATTTAGGCGACAGAATTTTAATACATATAATATTTTTATTATGCTCATTTATAAGGTAAGTTAGATGAGAATATTTATTTCGTGTATATTTTTTTTTTTTGGAAAAAATTTTGGAAATTTTTAATTGCCCTTTATCAGTTGGTATATTATAATTTATACATGCAACACACAAGCAATTCTCATTTATACCATGCAAACAACACTATTGTAAATTTAAATTTTATAATGTTATTTTGAGCATTTGATAAAGATGTGCCTAAAGAAAAAATTAAAATTTTTATTTAAGCAAACAGTGTTAGTTGTTTTTACTGAACAAAGATGATAAGCAGCTATTTCTAACTTGAGACAATTTTAAATTTTCAAGTTTTCCTTTAAAATAATACTAAAGACAAAGCATTGAATATGATAACCTCATAACAAGCACATTACTTTTGAAATTCTAAGAACAAACTTTTATGCTAAATGCATCCTATAAAGTGGAATATTTCATTCTAGCATAAGACCATGACTGCTTCATTCAATTATTTGTTATTTATCCTTTATCAAATCATGCGATTAAACTAAAATTAAAATGAATTTATTTTATTTTATTCCAAAAAATTATTTCATAAAAGAGAAAATTCGAATATAACAAATACGATCAAATATTTCGAGAGCCTTTAATAAGTAAAATTAAGTTCGATTTAAAGAGAAGTTCAAATTATATAAGAGTGGGAATAATAACAGAAATTTGAATGTATTTTCTTAAATCAAGGTATAATTTCTTCAAATTCTAAATAGAAGACAAAGTAAATCCTAACCGATTCCTGTAATCTTTAAAAATCTCCTTTGAATTGAATTTTAATCAGAATTTTATAAAATTTTTAAACAATTTTAACTTTATATTTAAAATGTACCATCATTGGCTCCCAATATAACCTCAAAAATATTTCTTCAATAACAATTTCCGCAATATGAACTCTTATCAATCTATTTTGTTATATTTACAATTTTTGCTTTTAATTGTAATTAATTTCATTAAAAATTTATAAAAAAAAAAATCCTTTAATATTTTAGTGTTTTTAATAAAAATTAAAAAAAAAATTTATTTTCAATTAGTCTCAACATTATATTAAAAATGTAATTAAAAATAATTTTTTAATTTTATAAAATATATGAAAATTCCTTAATATATAAGCTCTATATTTATTTAATTATCACAATACTCATACACCACCACACACACACACAAATTGAATTTACACAATATATAAAGTCAAATATTAACCAAAGCCTATTAAATTAAATTACAAAATAAAATGTGTATAATTAATTTATGTTTTCTAATTATTTCTGTATATATGTGGCTATATACACAATTAAGTATATATAACTACATATATATAATAAATGGGCATTGTTACAAAGGTATAAATTTAAATTATAACACTTCTTAAATGTTATGACCTATAACACTTTTAACAATTTTGTTAAATCCAACAGGAATATAATATATATATATATATATATTATTCTATATATATATATATATATATAGAAAAAATACGATTAGAATGAATAATATATAGAATTATAATAATGATAATAGAATTGTAATAATGATAGTCCGCGTTATTATTATTAAATAAGAATTTCGAAAATTTGACCACCACGAAACACTTTAATTAAACAAAAATTATTTATAATAACATAGTCTTGTAATAAAGTGTTTGTAGGCGAATTGTAATAACAGTAAAGTAGTAATTGCTAAAGAAAATATAATTATTAATTAGATCTACCAATATTATTAAATATGTACATAAATAATCTCAATTTATTGGTAAATCTTTAACAAAATTGATTATTTAATTAATAAACAGATTAATTATTGAAATAAATTAAGCCACGGCTTTTGAATAGTGTTGTTTGGCACTATACTCTTAATGTTATATACAAAAATCTCATGTTTACCTACTAAACATTCTGTATAGCTAGTGGCTAAGGTTTTAAATCTCAAAAATATAAGACACTGAAAATATTACATAAATTATATGAAATTTTTTTAATGAAAATTATAAAAATTATATTTATGATAAGGCATTAATAACCAAAAAATATATATATGTACCTATCCAAAAGAAAAAAAAAAACGATGACCCAAAAAAATAAAATCAAAATCAAATCAAATCCAAAAGGATTAAAGGATATGATTTTAAAAAAAAAAAAACAATTTTTATCCTCTTTTCCAATGTTTTTTCTCAGAAATACTCTCTAAATAAATTTTGAAAAATGAAAAAGAACAATTCATTTCTTATAATTTACACCGACGTTTTCCTTGTTCCTTTTTTTTTTCGTAATATTTTTAATAATACCTAATATAGAATTTTTTCATAAAATTAGGGCATTTCAAATTCTAAATTTAAATTTTAAGAATTTAAAACGCCTTTGAATTCCAAGTTTAATAGACCATTTTATTTTTACTAAAAGTAATTTATAATTTGAATTCGAATTAATCCGAATGAATTCCAAGAATATTGGGATTTTAATAATAAATTACAAACTTAATTAAATCATTCGACACCTTGATTCTATTGAAATGTTTTCTATGGAAATATTTAACCAATATACATATATTTATACTTTACGCTTATGGGACAAAATCCTGTATCAAGAATTTTTTAGAAAATTTTAAGATTATATGAGAAAAATTTTTTAGAAAATCATTGAACTAGCTCATTATATTATTTTTTAGAAATAGCAAATTCATATTTTTACAAATAATTTTAGTTAATTTTCGTGTATATAAATCATAAAATATATTTAAATAATTTAAATATTATAGAAATAGAATTTCCTCCTAAACTATTTATAAACTAAATTTATAGTTCAATATCTCTATATCAATTCGTATAATGAATTTGACTTATTAAGAAACACAATTATAATTTCAAATAAATTTCCATTTTGATAAAATACTCAAAATTTTAAATTTAAAATTTTAATTGAAAAATTTATTTTTTTCTCTAATATTAATAAATTAAAGTTCTCTATGCCTTGTATTTAAAATAGAATTTGAATTTTAATTAAAAAAATTTATTTTTTTTATTTTTTTTTTTTAATAAAAATAAAATTTTTTATATAGAACGCAGAAATAAATACTAATAATAATAAATAAAGAGAACATGCACCAGAATTCTATAAATTTTCATAAATAAAATAAATTTCTTTTTTTTTTTATAAAAATTACCTTATATTGTGATATAATATTAATTTATACATATACATAATATCCTTATATTATATTAACAATTCCTTTATATAAAAATATCCTTTATGATGTTTAATTATAATTTTATAACTGAAAAACACGAAAAAATAAAGGATTGTGCTTTTTTTTCTTTTGATTATTTTCTCTTTTTTTTTTGCTTCTTTAAATTTGTTCTTATATTTTCACAATTAACTTCTTTATTTCAATTTTCTCTTCCTCTTTTAGGAAATTTTTTAATTGAAAAAATGAAATGATTTTTTTTTTTTGCTATTTTAAATTTTTAATTTTATTTAAGTTTTATTATTTTATTATTTTTTCTTTCTCTATTTTAATTAAAAATTTATTTTCAATTTTTTTTTTTTAATTTTAATTCACTTTTCAATAATTAAATATTTAATTCTCATAATAATTCGTAGTGAAAATTGTGATGAATTATTTTTGGTTCGCCTAAATATATGCAATATTTTTTTTGTTGAATTTTCAATTAACGTGTTTGAATAGCTAATTTATACTGCAAAAATTTATTTTAAATTTAAGATATTAAAAATATTTTGATATATTTAATGAAGAATAGTGTTATTTGGATAATTATTTATTATACCTACATTTTAATATTTAAAAATAATAAATTTTAAATTTTTTATTATAAAATTTTTTTTTTTTTTTGATAGAACAATTTAGTATTATGTGTTTAATTTTAATAACATTGAATAAATTTACATTTATAAATTCTTTGTAATTTATAAGTTATAATTTTGCATTTTTTCCAACTTTTATTAACTTATAATATTTATAATTTGTTAGTGATATCATTATTATTAAGAGAAATAGAATATTTAATGCAGGAAATCCTTATTTTTGTTTATATTTTATCGCATATTATTTGGAAATACGATATCGTTATTACTATAGGTTAATAACAAATTTAATTTATATATTTGTATATGGATATACAAATATACATTTATATATTTAATATATGTATATATATATATATGTTTACTATTAAAATTATTTTTACTTCCGTTATAATTTTTATTTTATTTTTAACACTTTATTTAAATTATATAAATATAATATTTTTATAAGAATTTAATATTTTTGTGTTATATATTTAAATTTATACAATAATATTATTAAATAACGGTATTTAACGATTTATTAAATATGTTGCATATTGTATGTAAAATAATTTTCGTTTTTTGTTTTGTAACCAAAAAAAAAAATCGCTTTTTTCCGTAATATTTTTCAATTTTTCTTTTTATTTTTTATTATTTTATCTCAATCTCAAGATATTCCATTGAAAACAAACATAAAATGATGGTAATATGGGACCAGAATACAAGCGTTTTTAACAACAGCTCGAATTATACTGAATGTATCCTTTTTATTGAAAATCCTATTTTAAGTAACCGTTATAAAAGTATTTATTCTTCTTTTTTTTTTCTTTCATTGTATATAATGTATTCATTCAGTGTTTCTTGTATATATATATACATGAACACATATATATATATATATATTAATTTAAAAGTAAAGGAAATTTTTTTACAGTTTTCTTTTATTCATTTATGCTTTTTTTTTTGATTACATATTTCTTGTTATTGTTTACTTTTATTTTAATTTTTTTACATGTGTAACATATTTTTTTGTATAATAATTTTATAATAGTATTTGTGTTATGATAGCGGTAAAATATAAAGAGAAAATTATACACAAAATAAAAGAGTTTTTTTAAACTTTTAACTCTCAAATCTCAATTGAATAACAAAAATTGATCAAATGAAAATTAAGAGAAAAATTTCCTTTTTTTTTTATGAGAAAATTTCCCTTTAACTTAAGACATTTTAAATATATACATTAATTGAGATATGAGAGAGAATAGAGATTTTAAGAATTTGTGTGAGACAAAATTCTTATCACTTATCTATTTTTCCCTTTTTCTACAGTTGGATTTGAGTTATAAAGTAAAAGCGTTTAATATCCATTGATAACAAATAAAACTGCGGCCGCTTTTAAAACAAAAATAAACTTTAAATGATCTTTTTTTTATTAAAAAAGCTTTTTGATTTATTTACATATGTCTGAATGTGTATTTTAAGAGCATAATTATTTTCTTACGTACAACATGTACAATAGAGTAGTGTTTAGAAATTATTTTATTTTTGTTTGAGTGATACGCGCTCTGGAATGGTGATAATATGCAATAATTTTATTAATATGAATGAGAATTAAGTAGCGTCGAATACATTGTTAATATTTACATAGTTTATTAGAAAAATAATAATGTATAGTAGCAGCACTATCGTACTGGGGTATTAAGTAACTAAAGTTTTATCGGTAAAATTATCAGAAATCCAACCGAGATGACATTTTTATTTTCTTTATAACTGCCCGTTTTTTGGTCTAGATAAAAGACTATTGCCAATTTCAGCCGATTTCATTTATTATTGACACGTGTGACAACCAATCATGCAAACATTGGTATTCATAACCAAAAACAAATACAGGAACAAAATAGAAAAAATTTCATATAATTTCAAAATTTCATTAAAATACTGTTATTATTATCGTTATTTAACAATACTGAATAATCAATGGGATAATTAATATATAAGGGTCCATTGATAATAAAATTTAATATCCAAAATGTCAAAAATGACATTTACATTTTAAAAATGTCATTTTTATCATTTATTTGAAAAATGTCATAATTTTGGTAGTGTTTTGTACATAAATTAATTAATATCACATTCATTTTATTCATTTTATTTTTCCTTATTTTTGACATTTCTCAAATATCTTATTTCAAATAACTAAATCATTTTTGACATTTAGTTACCTATTTTTGTTTAAAAAATAAATTTAATGAAAGACAAAAAGATTCGGGGAAGGTATAAAATTGTGACAGCAGAAGGTCCTTCTCCACATAGTTGGAAATTTCTGATGTGGAGAGAAACCTTCTTTTTGTCTTTCATTATCCTCTTTTTTTTAAATAAGGCGATGTAAGAGAGGTACAGGTACAATATACGTGTATTTTACAAACTGACGGAGAAATGAAAAATTTTTCAAACAATTTTTTGTACAAACTTTTACAACAAAAATTTCTTGTCTTTTTTTTTTCACTTTTACTTTCTTAAATTAAATTTCTTAACAAAATTGAAATTAATGATTAAAAGTATTAAAGCGAATGAAAAATACCTTCAAATAACAATATCAAAAGCAAAAAACACCTACTTTCTCATGCATATACAAACATTATATTTACATATTTACAGAAAAAAAAAAGAGAATTTTTAAAGGAAATTGAATAAAACCGTTAATAATAAACCGGAATTATAAATGTCCTTCTAAAAAGAAAACACATAAAAGAAAACAAAAAATTAAGCAATGCCTAAACACAAAAACAAAAAATTTATAATAAAGAAAAAGAGGAAATATTCTTTGTATTTCCTGCCATTTACTCAATTTTTCCTATATATAAGAAAATTATTTTAAAAAAAGGACAAAAGCATAAAAAGAGAAAAAGAAAATTCTAAATTCTTTTATAAAATCTTTAATTTGTTGTTACCATATTTATACTTTTAAAAATCCTTTTCTCATTATCGCCAATTTTACTTCTTAAATTTACACATACACACGCACATATTTTCATATACATAAAAATTTATATGAGCGTACAAGTTGAATGTAAGTAAAAATTCAACAATTATAACCCTAAAAAAACAAAAAAAAAAACGCAAATAAAACATGAAATTATATTATACATACATACATGTATGGTTTATTTTTACTCATGTGGTTTTATTTGGAACACATATACGTATGTAAATAATTCTGTGGTTTTCTGAAAAAACCTTGTAAATTTTGAGAAAACACGCTTTGAATTATTTAAATCTTTGGTGTGAATTTAATAAAATAGAAGAAAAATTTGAGTTTGTGGTGATTTTACTCATAACTTCGAAACCGATTTGGTTAAACTACGCAAAATTTTGACAGAATTATTTTATAGATTTAGGTAAATTTTGGTTGTAACCACAGAATTACAAATGAATGGACCATTGCGTGAAAATTTCTCTGAATATACTAAAAACTTAAATAATGTTTTCTATTAAATTTTTAATTCAACTTTAGCATGATGATTTTTAAAATATATCCTCTATACATAAGTATTTAAATATTATAAGGATTTTAAGAATATACGCAAATATATATTTAATATAAATAAAAAATGGTTCAAGTTAGTTATTAGAAAATTAAGAAAATCTAATTAATAAAATAAGAATACTGATTTTAAAATGACGTTAAAAGGTAACTGAAGTGATATAGAAAAAAGTAACAAGTTCTTCTTATGAAACAAGCTCCTTATTTTCGATTTCAAACAAAATATATAAAGTATATTACTGATGGTAATGGAATATTACAATCAATATGTAAAATACACATACCTACTTTTATAAATTAATGGAACACCATAGTTTATGTTAAAATAACTATGTACATTGCATTTACATTTTATATAATAATATGTAGTTGCCATATATACACGAAAGGATATTAAAACGAATAACATAGTATTAAAGGATTTAATAAAATTATGGAAAATTATAATTTGTTATTTTTTATTTTATTCTTTTTATTTTAGTTTTTTTGAGGTTTTTGTGGTTATAAGAAAATAAATTGCAGCCGTGAGTATATAAAATGAGTATATTATGTACAGAAATTTTTTTATTACATGTAATTATGTACATACAGTATACATGAAAATTGAAATAGTTTTACATATGAACTTATTATTATTTTAAATTAAAATAATTTTTATGAATATTTCAAATGTAATACTATTTTGTAGCTCTATTTTATATTGTTGGGTACATGTTAACAGTTTCTTTGGCTTCTTATATGAGAAAAAATAGAAAATAACAGACGGATTTCTTAACATTTCCCTGAATAAATTTAGATTTTTAAATACTTCAGCTATTGGTACGAGTTTTATACTAAATTTACACACGTTCCATTTCAAACAAGAATCAATTTACAAATCAAGATATTTATATTCTGCTACGTATTCTAAGATTTCAACATTTTTATAAATATTTAGCTCCGGTTTTGACGAGCCAATTGGCAAAAATGTATTTAGTTTTGCTCGCGTTAAAAATTAGCTTTTGTTTAGCCATCCATTTGACAATTTTAACCAAATCAGAATTAATTTTATTTTCAGAATTGTTTTAAATTATCAGCTTCGAAAACCATACATATGTCATCAGCATACACATATTATATTTACAATATCATTTATATATTGAATACTTTTCATATAAAGACTGAACAGTAAACTTAACTGGAGGGACTCCCTGAGTTCACATCCACAGTTCTTCTATATGAATTTCATCAATTCTTATATAATTTATGATCTATATTTTCTAATTATAATTGGAACCACATATATTTTGTGCTTCTGACTCCAAAAGCATATAGTTTCTTCATCAAGTTGCCATGATTTACCATATTAAAAGTTTTCGATAGGTCTATGAAAATCAATGATACAACCCTTCTGCTATTCTTTAAACTTTAGACCTTGTTGATCATGTCCATTATCACAGCTTCAGTGCATGATATTGTTTTTTCGAAAACAAATCATGTTTATTTAGAAATAATTTTTATTTTATAAAGTAAATTGATTATAAATTGAAGTAAATTTTACATATACTTTTATTTAATTCTTAATGTTCACATACATATATTTAATTTATGATATATTTACATTCATTAAGATTTATTTGCGACTAAATGCGTCTATATTTTTCTTAATCGTAATTCGATATTAATGTACTTGTATAAAACTTGTTTAGTTAGGTAAATTATTATTTTTTTTAATTATTTTACTTGAATATTTTAATTAAAATTTAGAATTACATTATATGTCTGTAATTGCATACACTTATACTTATATAATCCTTTTTTTTTTGCAAATTTAATAAATTTATACATGATAATATTTAAGTATCAAAAACAACTAAATAACGTAAATGTATTTGATTTTCATTATAAATAATATATTCATTATATTTAAGATCAGTTTTTAATTTATAAGAATATTTTAGCGGTCCAATTGGTATTTGTGCACGATGTTCAGTTTGAATAAAATCAATTGGTTGATATTTTCCAATTCCTTTTACACAATTTGTACCATTTGGTAAATAAGAAACTTTTTCACCTTCTGTAAGAGCATATGGTGTACCTAAAGCTATTTCAGCTAAAATTAATATACCAGATGGTGAAGATGATCTACCATTACAATATTGTGCTGCTTTTGTAACAGCATCAGCAAAATAAATACCATAACCAAACATTTTTCCAGTTCTTGTAACATTTGATGGTGGTCTTGTTAATAAACCTATATTCACAAATATGAATAAAAATAATTTGCAAAATTTTCATTTAAAATACTTTACCATCTTTTAAAATTGAAGAAAAATTTTCAATTTTTGTTCCATGCCATAATAAATGACGATTTCCAATGTATTTTATTTTTGTATAATCCTCACATTCTTTTGTCTTATGTACACTAAAAATATTACGTATTTTTATGCGATATTTATGTGTTGGTCCATGTGTACTTTCTACATATTTTTTTATATAATCATATTCATTGCAACATTTCGAAATCAAGTCAATTGTACAATTTAATTTTGAATAATATGTTGTGAAAAGACTCTGACTACATGCGATTACTAAAACATAAAAAAAATTTGAATTTTTTTTGAAATAACATTTTTTATGCTACAAATAGATTATGTGATTAAAATCTAAAAAAATGTTTAGGTTTCAGAAACCATAAAATTGTTGCATATTAAAGTATTAGTATCTTAAGGTATTTTATTACAAACAAGTTACACTTAGTACCCTAAGACGTTAAGATATTTAAGTTTAGTATTTAATTACTTCGTTTTTCGAATATTAAAGCAACTAGTCCTTTTACAGAATTTGTTGAAAATTTTTGAACTAATTCTGTTTCACTATCACTGCTGCTACTACTACTGCTGCCACTACTAATTCCGGTACTATCGTTACAACTACTGTCACTGCTTACTTCGATGTCACTATCATCTTCAGTATCACTGCTAATGGAAATATCTGAACCACTATCATGGCTCTATTAAACAGAGAAAAATTAATACATAAATTTCGAGAATCATACATTTTTTACTGTCACTGCTTACTTCGATGTCACTATCATCTTCAGTATCACTGTCATTATCTGTATCACTACTAATATTTAAATCGCTATCACTTTCAGAATTACTGCTAATGGAAATATCTGAATCACTATCATCGCTCTATTAAATAGAGAAAAATTAATATATAAATTTCGAAAATTATACATTTTTTACATTAAATTTTTCTTTAGTTACTTACTGAGCTCATATTTAATAAATTTCAATAAGAAAAATTTCCAATCTACAAAATTTGTCTTCTAAAAGTCTACTAAACACCTTGAAAATCTAAAACATACTGAATTTTAAAATCCCTTTAAAAATCTTTTGTTTAAAGTTTTTGCTAAAGTCGGGAAAATCCCGATTAATATAAAATTTAATAATTACGAAATTAAATTGATTTTAGTTAGAAAACTTTTTACTTTGCAATTAATAACATCATAAGACTGATATTCAAAATATTTAATTATAAAGTGGCAATATTGATAACGATATATGTATGTATGGATGTACAAATGCGTGTTTAATATATTATTCTGTATATGTACATATTAATGTTTGCACATTAATACACATTCACCTGCTATTATAAATGTATTTTTAACTTTTTTTTATAGTAATGCACACATATTATTATGGCATATGTATGTATGTTAAATGAAATATGCTGAAATGAAATTAACACTTAGCGCAAAATTTTCCTCTTTAAACAAAAGAAGTAATACAAAAATATCGAAGTGCCGAATGGTGACTGGCGAATGAGTGATGAGTGGCAAGTGCGACAATAAATTTTCTATAAGCAAAAAATTATTTTGAGCAAATTATTAGTTTCATTTGGTCGAATTATTTGACATAAATAAATACATATGTTTAAAAAATATTTAACATTAATTTTTTTTACGTATGCGTAGAGTTTAATTTGTCTGCGATAATAAAAATTTGCGGAAACCGAAAAAGCTTTAAAATATTATTAGTGTTATTAAGTTTATTTGAGTATATTTGTATTTACAGTTCTCATTCAAAGTATATACAATAATATGCCTAAAGGTTGAGGCTAACCTCAACATTGCGATAATCTTGACAGTGGCAGAGAAAAGAAGCTATAAGAGGCCAAACATACGCATATTTATGTATGTATTTATGATAATTTTTGCTATGTATTTTAAGAAAAATTTCTCCGAAAATATACTTTTAGAACAGAAAATAAAACAAAAAAAAATGTTTGTTTACATGTTTTTTTTAAAGAGCTTTCCCCGTTCTTATTTCATTTCTTTTAAGTGAACAGAAAGTAATATAATTTTCACATGGGACGCAAAGGAAAATTTTTTAATAAATTTTGAAAACGATTCAATTAAATCTTGAGAAATTTATAGGAAAATGGAATTAGGTAGAGATGACCGTGTGAACTCTGTGTGTTCGAATGAATGATTTAAAAAATTGTATTGTATTTTCCAGCCTGTTACACACTACGATTATTAAAGTTATTGGGGACCTACCACAAGAAGCCAAGAAATTTTAGCGATTTTTTGTATTTGCTTGCACGAAATTTTGATTTTCTTAGATATAGCCGAATAACTTTAGAAACTGTAGGGCAGCTACTCGAACCACAGTCCCGGTCGCATCCAATTTAAAAAGGGTTCTGACATTAACTATTATAAATCATTTGTGAAAGTTATGTGAGCTTAGCTCATTTAGGTTTTGAATTATGGCTGAAACAGACGGACAAATTGACAGATATCGTTAAATTGACACAGAATTCGACGCCAATCAATTATCATTATTTCTTAGCGCTATAAACGGCATAAAATATATGACAACGCAAAAACTTGTGCAATCCCAATCAGAACAAACATAAAAGATAACATTAAAACTGTTTCCAAACTTCGATTTTTCAAAAATGTCTTTAGATCTTAAAACTCAACTTACTCAAAACTGATAATGCAATTTTAAACTATTCAGTTTTGTGATTGTTACTTGGACATCATATGTAACTAATGTCTAACTTTTTCTTTAGAAATTAAAACTTTCAATTTATTCTAATATATCATTTTTATTTAATTTTAATTCATATAAAGTCTCATTTAATTTATTCAATTCATTAGCTTTAGGGTGTCCTAAATTTTCATTAACATCGTAAACATACAATTTACCACTGTCATCACCAGCTGTTACATGAAGACCAGAAGATGACCATGACACACAATTTAATGCTACTGATTTATTAACAATTGTTGATGCTATTGGAACGTCAACATTTTGATTTATATTCCACAAATCTAAATGGCCGCTTTCATCAACACAAGCAAAAATCGCTGGATGAATTGGAGACCATTTAATATCCATAATATAATTTGAAGTATATTCAAATGAATATAGTGGCCTGTTTTCATTCATACTCCATAATTTTATAGTCCAATCCATAGATGATGTAAGAAATAAATTATTAAAATCTGACGAGTATTCGTTATGGCGTGCCGAAATTCCAGTAATTGGCCCCAGATGTTTCTCGTATACATTTTCAATGTAAACCCTACTTCCCTTACGAGATGCTGAATACGCATAACCATCTTCTGCACCTATTACAAAATTATAAATCTCATTGGTAGGAAAAGTCATGCAGGTAGCTGAAATAGGATCTAAGCACGTTGAAAATTGTGGTTTTGATAACATATCTAAATTCCATGAACACAATTTCCCATCTGAAGAAATCGATATCACATCATTAAGATTTTGTGTTCCAACCATTTGCAAACAATATATTGGATGCGTATGTGCTGCAGCACTTATTATTGAACTTTGTACAGGAGTACGTTTCTGAACGCGATTATCCCATAAAACAATTTGTCCAGAATATGTTCCACCTATTATTAAATTTGGATTAAACTTAGCAAAACATGTAGTCATAACAGCACTCTGACAATGAAATATATCTTCAGGAGTAGACTTCTTATATTTTGTGTTCCAAACGATAACGACACCATTTAAATCTTTTGTATTTTCATATTCATTATGATATGAGGCTACAACTAATTCTGGAAAATATTTTGACCAATCCATTGATGTTATACATCGATTCTGTGTCATATTTTCACAATAAAATGTTCGATTCAATTGAAGAGATGTATTGATTCTTTCATTATTAGCAGTTTTATTATAAGCTTCACCAATATAATCTGTATGAATATCGGAAATTTCACACAGAGCGCGTTCTATAATACGACCAGTATGAATAATAAACTGTCGAAATTCTTCTGACAGCATAATACTTTGTTTTTGTTCGTTACACAATACTTTTATTGGCTCCTTTAGTTCTTCATCTTTTTCCTTTTTTTGCAACGCTGCAGTTACTTGAATTGACTTTTCAAATTTGCGAGAGGCATTCAGGGAAGATTTTGAACGGAAATTGTTCAAATATTTTGCTGAACTTTCTTCATCATCTTCTGATGGGGGACCATCAAAATAAAGCGTATAATATTTTTTTGCACGTATATCACGTGCTTTCATAACAGCTGGACGTCTGCGTTCAAGATCGATAGTTTGCGTTTGTTTTGTAGATTCAACAACTTCCTTTGCAGATATACTTACTTTTTGTACAATACTTACACTTAAGTTGGGTAAAAATTTACGAGAAATACTTTGTTCATTTCCGATAGGCACATCTAAGCTTTCAGTACAACTACTAGATGAAAGTTTAGAGTCAATTTGCGACAAAATGGACGTTGAACCTTTCTTTTTCTCTCTCTCGTCAGATACTCCAAAATATAATGAAGTTTCTTCTAAATGTTTTCTTTCTTTTTCTCGTATACGAAGTTTTCTTTCTTCTCGTGAAGCAGCTAACAAAATTTGTTTTCTCTCTAACTCAGCTTTTCGATCTATTTTGGTATTATGGTTTATCGAATCCAGTTTCTAAATTAAAAAATATGATGAAAATGAAACCGAAAACAAAAAAATATAAATGTAAATTAAAAATTTTTTTAATTAAATTATTTGAGTTTTCCTTCACTAATTTAAAAAATAAAAAAATTTTCATTCAATAATTTTTTTTTTATTAAAATATTTAAAAATATAAAATAAATTGCAATAGACCAAAATTTTTTTCACAAAAATTAAATGTATACATTTTTGATGTTCCGTTGAAAGTGGCCTCACCGTCTTCCAAAATTAATTTTGATAATTTGGAAACCAAAATAATTATCGCGATCCTCTGTATAATCCGATACTTCGATCCTTTTAAACAATAGCGAAGAAATAAATTCTTCTGAGATCAACAATCCGTTTAGCTTACAACTATTTTATTTCCTTTCATCTTTATCTTTAACTATTTCTTGTTGAATTTTTTTGTTGGTTGTTTGTGGAACAGTTTTAAGACTACCTGTCGATAATTGTGGTTGAGAAATTTCATTTTGTCTTAATGAACTTTTGTCATCGTCTTCTAATGGATTGTCATCAAAGTAAAGCATATAATAATTTTTAGCACGAGCATTATAGGCTTTTTGTTTATCTTCTCGTATACTTGACAACAATCGTTGTCTATTTTCTAACACAATTTTTCGATCCTCCCTTGTATCAAGATCAACTAATTGCAACTTCTTTAAAGCACACAAACATAACCATTCCAAAAAAAAAAAAAAAAACAAAAAAACATTTTTATAATTTAGACTAAACAATAATTTTTCAACAATAAATGTTTGTTTTTGAATTTGATTAAATTATTTGATTACTCAATATAAAAAGTTTAAGGTGACAGAGGTTGCTCTCATTTACTAGGGTTATTGTTGTGAGAGATCTTTGATGGCCAACACTATTTTACTTGTTACATTTGTTACAAGTGGTTAATGTAGTGTTCGAAAAAGTAGCCAAAAATAGGACGTCTATGATGCGCTTCGTCACATTTTTTTTGAAAAATTTGGCCATTTGGCCAAAATAATTTTTAAATATTAATGCAATGTTTGGTATTTTCAACAAATTTAAAAGAAAATTTTTAAAATTTCTTTATGTTTTGATTTTTGTATGTGTTTTTCATATAGGAACATTAATTCGAATATCAAACCATTGCTCATAATCAAAATCATAAGAATGGTATGATGCTCACAACCAATAATCATTAATTATTTTTTTATTATTTTCCAAAATTATTGACATTCTTTATATAAAATGCATACGAATATTTATTTCAAATCAATTATTATTAGTTTAGGGTCTGTGCACTAGAATAAAGCTCTTATCATTGTAAAAAATTACTTTATTTATGAATAAGAAAGCTTTTTAGGTCTGCACATACCACACATGAATAAGTGATTCTTTATTTCACAATTAATACAAATTGTTTATTATCAATCATTTTTTTTTAAGTATTTTTCTTCATGATAAGAATTTCTACTCTTCTATCGTTAGTCTTTACAAAATATCGATAGCATTTATCATTCATAAAATATTAATTCATAAATATAACATAATATTTTTATATATATAAATTTAACAGCCTAGACCAAACATTAATTATTGAATATCTTAATTATACCAATAAAACGATTATAGAATGAACAATTTTGATAAACCAGTAACATGCCAGTACCAGTAATAATTTTATTATTGACTGTAACAAAATTTCACATATTATTATTAACAAAAAATTAATCACTAAAAATTTTATAATGGTACAGAGTGTACCTATTATACTTGTTGCGACGCGAAAAAAATATTAGGCAAGTGAAACACCCTGTATGTAATTTTTAGTCTTTAAAGTAATGGTATTATAGTATGCATACATGTATGTACGTTCGTCGCTTTACAACCACATTTTAATTTAATATGAGATGCAGTTATTCGAGAATTGATTCTCAACAACTGTATTGTATAACACGAAATGCTTCTAGTATTTTCTAACAGAATTTTATTATTATTAACTTAGTCAGCAAGGTAGAAGGTAGTGATAAAATAAATATATAATTTAAACCTGAAATGAATGGTAAATAATAATTGTTAAAATAATAATAGAAAAATATAAAATAAAAAGAATTATTAAAATATAAATAATAAAAATAAAAAGAATTAAATAAAGTGTTTTAATGAATAAAAATAATAGATGCCGACGACGACCACATACTCTGTTAATTAAAACGCTCCGTTTAAAAGTATTAAATACTGTAAGCGTATACCATCCTAGGTCTATGTGTAAAATTCTTCATACAAAAGAATAGTTGTTTTACCGTATAGATGTCTTCACAAAAATAACCTACCTATTGTTTACACAATAAGGTCGGTAAAAAACAGCATTAACAAACATTCGATTGTAAAATAAGTACAAACTGTCGATATTTGCCAAACTTTCTTTACATATGAAAAATGGTCAATAAAACAAGTGCTAAAAAAAGAATTTTTTTCTACTTTCTCAAATGAATTGGGCAAAAAACATTAATTAAATTTTTATTGAAGCTTATTACTAATTTTTGCTTATTTTAGTCAAAATCATAGATTTTAGTCTAGTTTACTCATATAGACAAGTCGAGCGATTACCAGATTTATATTTATACTATATTAAATATTGAAGAGTATTTTATTAAATTTAATTATATGTAATCAAAAAATATGTTAATAATTTTAGCTATAGTGTTAACATTTCTAAGCCAAAATCATAAAAATACTCAATTCACTTTATAGACAACAATAAACTTTATAATTATCATTGTTATTATTAGAAAAACTCAAATAAATCAAAATTAATATTTATTATATTGCATTGCTATCACTTTTACTTACCGTATTATTCATTTTTTAATTATTTAATAAAGAAAATTAAATTAAATAAAAATACAAATATTTTTAAGGAACCGTTAATCACCTAACCGTAAATTACTAAAATGTTTATTTCTTTAACAACAATATTTATACATTTGATCTATCTATATCAAATCTAATCTTAATAATATAAATTATTTTACGATATAATATTCCAATACAATTATTTCACTTACAATAATTATTATGTATTTATTGTACTTCCAAATTCCAATATTATTAATTATATTAGACTGACCATTTGTATATTGAATTTTATTGGGACTTAACCGAATTAAAGGAACCTGTTATAATTTTTGTATCATTCATATTTTTTTTTCAATTTATCATTCATTTTTAATGTCATCATTAAAAAATGAACTGTCAAAAATAGTTGCCATGCATTGCATTGCCGGTCAATGTCCCCCGAAATTATTTCGGGAATGCGAAAATTTTTTATGTATAAAATAAATGACAAAAATATGTATTGGTGTCAAAGAACTTTATAATTCAGTATTTTGACATTTTGTAACATTTCTCATTTATGCACTTTTGCTTATACATTCTAATCACAATTAGATCAAAATCTTAAAAATATCTCTTTACTTTTGAATTCTGCAGGAGCTTGCATAAAAACTTCTTTCCGCTCAACTTCTGTATTTTAAGAAAAATTTTCTTTCTTTAAAATTTTTATCACTTTTATTTTCAATATTTTAGTGAACTTATTTTTTAATAGTTCCGTTTTTAGATGAATGATTCCTTTCTCTTAAGTCAACTCTTAGTAGGAAATATTAGCAGGTAAATTTAAGTAAACTAGTTTATTGAATTTAAAAATCATGAATAATTCAAATATTTTAAAAAATATTGCGTTTATTTGCTCACATATTAATACATAATTACATTAAATATATACACTTTATATTCAAATATGAATAATTATAACTAATTCTTTGACATAATATAAAAAAATTTTTAAAAAAATTACATGACAAAAAAAAATACAATAATATTTTTAAATTTATTTAAAATTAAAAAAAAAAAATTTCATATAATTTCACAACCCATACCATCAAATTTACAATGTACTAAATATTGCATAAATATTTGATTATTATCAAAAACAATATATTCGCTATAATTAAGATCAGTTGATAAATCATTATGACATTCTAATGGTCCAAGTGGTATTTGAGTACCATATTTATTTCTTATTATTTCAGTTCTTTTTGGTTTATATTTACCTAAACCTTTGACACTATTCTTACCTTCTGGTAATTTTTCAACTTTTTCACTTTTTGTTTTATAATAATGTTTACCTAATGCAACTTCAGCTAATATAAGAATACCTTCTGTTGAAAAGATATTATTTTTACTATATTGTGCAGCTTTAGTAACAACATCAGTAAAATAAACACCATTACCAAACATTTTACCATTTATGTTAACATTAGCTGGTGGTTCAGTTAATAACCCTTAAAATAAAAGAAATTTTTTTTAAAAAATTTATTTTTATTAAAAATTTTTATACAAAATATAAAATAATCAATTAAACCTTTTTCTAAAATTGAAGGATAATTCAACATTTTTGAACCATGCCATAATAATTTACGATTACCAATTGCTTTATTCGGTTTATAACTCCAATATTCACCTTTTCTATAAACACTAAAAATATTTTTTGGTATAACTTTAAAATTATGTGTTGGACCATGTGTATTTTCTATATATTTGCAAATAATGTCATAATTCTCGTCATCTATATCCAAACATTTTATATCTGTATTTAATTGAGTATAACAACTAGAAAAAAGTACTCGATCTTCTGAAAGGTCTTTATAACAAAATTATAATATATAATTAATTATATTTATAATAAATTGTAGATTTTAAATTATAAGAATTAATATGTAAATATTTCTTTATTTATATATGTACCTTTATCAAACATTAATCCAACTAATTCAATAACAGTATCGTCGGCATCCACCTTAAAAATATTAAAAATCTTAATATTTATAATAAATAAATTGTATTTAGAATTTTCTGTAAACAAAAGTTTTATAAACAAACCTTGACATCCAGTGAAAAGTTAAAACTTACAATGTATAATATTCCTAAATGTACATATATTAAAAGCTCTTGAGACATTGTACATTATACTAAAATGTATCGAATATCTAATCGAAACGTAAAACAAAAACAGAGCACATGATTATGATTAATAAAATAAAAGTTACGGAAACTCTTTTATAATACTCAAAATTTAATTTCATTGAGCATTTATTATTATTTTTAGATAAGAAATGGCTTTAAACTTGCTTAACAGAACAACAAAAATTACAAATATTTTGAACAGAACTTTCTAAATATTGAAAATCTAAAAATAATTTATTTATGCTTTTCTACTATGGAGAAGTGCGTTCCCACCGAAAACTTGACATCCAAAATTTAATGCTATCACATCACTATATAGTTTGACCTAACAGAAATTATATAAAGTACAGAACTATAGGTTGCGATTTAACAAAATACAAAAGTAATTGTCTTTTAATTCTAATGCTACATCATCTTTTTATCGTATTACATAATATATCGTACTTATTTAGTTTAATCAATTTCATACTTACATATGTATATTTTTACCGACCGTATTATGTAAACAATAGGTAGGTTATGTGATGGCCATAAATTTTGCATATCGAGTTTTCGGTGGGAACGTACTTCTCCGTAGTAGGGAAGTGTAAATAAACTATTTTTAGCAACCTGTCGGTCTGTCGGTCTGTGTGTGCATGCGTGTATCTCAAGTTCTGCTGAACCGATTTTGATGAAATTTTATATGTAAGTTTATTTCCACCATGGCACGGATTGATCAACTTTTGGGATATATCAGGCCTCGGGAACTGCACTTTTTAGCGGGCCTGTTTTACATTTTTGAACATTTTGAATAAAGTATTCAACCGATTTACTTGAAATTTCATATATAAGCTTTTCTCGACCGTCCGCAAAAATTCCTAATTTTTGGAAGAAATCAGGCATCAGCAACTGGACGTTTACTACGGGCCAAATATACATTTTTGCTTATATAAAGAGAAATAATCAACCGATTTCATTGAAATTTAATATTTAAATTCTTCGTATTGAAACAATGAACATGGAAATTTTTTGAAAAGATCAGGGCTCGAAAACTGATCTGCGGGCCGATTTTACATTTTTCACCATATCTACGGAACGAATTGATGGAATTTCTTGAAATTTGATATTTGAGTTCTGGTTATTATCTGAAACTAACTGGCGAGCATTTCAGGGAGTTCGGGTAGCACAAAGCGAAATTCTACTAAGAGCCAAATTTACATTTTTCTAAGTATGTTAACTATAAGCTTACTAATGTCCTAAAAATTGGAATGAAGTATTTAACAGACATTTTTATAATATTCTGTAACCCTTTCACTTAACTAAACAATATACAATGCGGTCGGTTATGTGCTGACCACATCAGATTTTTTTCTTCTATGATAAAGTAAAAAAATTTTTCGATAACAATTTACTTAGTTTGGGAAATTCCCTTATATTAAATAGCAAGTAAAAATTAACCACGTTGTAATTATATTTTTTTTCTATATTAAAATTAACTAATTAATTAAAATATGTAAATTCTGTTTTAAAGATAACGCATACTTTTATATTACAATTGATCACCTTTTCGAGATAAATAGGACCCCAAAACCTATACAAAAAATACCAATTTTACATTATTAATCATAATTATCTAAAACAATATATGCAACTAATATGTTCCGCTTAAAATTGTATTTAATTCAGTACTGCTACTAAGCCTACTACTTAATACTATTATTACTACCAGTACTACCACATATATTTGTGCATACATAAAATGGGCTCGCATTTTATTTTCGTTAACGCATTTTAAAATTATTACATTGACTTTCATTTTGAGCAATTGAAGAAATTTTTCTAATTTTTATTTTAAAAAAACCAAAAGCATAATAATTATTTACTAAAATATTTACCAATGACTGCCTGGGACCCATATTTTCAATAAATTTAAACTCCTTCTTTTATATACAATTAAAGAACAAAAAAAAATAGACAATTAAAGTTTTAATATTAAAATATAATAAATAAAATTAATTTAAAATTTTTATTATAAAATCTAAATGCTTCAAAATGTTTTTAACGTTTCAACAGATCGCGTAAGACTAACTTATAATCAAAATACTTACATTCTTATTTTCTTATTCCTTCTGAAATTTTTACATATACATACATACAATATACTTATGTATCCATATATGTATGTATGTACTTCCATAGTTTTTAAAATTTGAAAAAAAACTTCAAGCTTTTGGAATCTTAAGTAAAAATGGGAAAAAACCTTTTAACGCGGTATATTAAATAATGAAAGAAAATATTATTAAAGCATATACATAGTCACTATTTATTGAAACATATGTATCTACACATGCATATATTAATATTCTTACACCTAAACATGTACAATACAATTACAAATATATGATATACTGTAACATATACATATACATGAAAGTACTTTATGCTAAAGCATGTGTAAACATTTTCTCATTTCAATTACATATTTATATTATACTGATCTTTCTCTCTCACTAAACAAATCTTATAAATTTTTTTGATAAAAGATAATAAATATAAATATGTATATGTATGTATGTATATTTATTATTTTTTCTAAATTTAAGTAATGTGCAGTGTATGGAAGATCTTATTTATGTACATAGATCTGAAAATGTAGTAGGTTTTTATGACAACACTGGAAAAAGTAGATCGTTTTTATGTAAAGAACTTTGAAACATCTATGTACTGCTACTTTCATATTTTCAGCATGCAAATTTAAGCTGACAATATGAGAGAAACTGACAATATGTATATCAAAAACTTACATAACCTAAAAATTCAATTGAAAAAATTATACAGTGCTGTCAACTATTCTACTTTAGAACAACGTTAACCGAAGTAGCTGAATAATGTATCAATTTTCCTTACTCCGTACTTGGCAATTCCGATGTCAGGATTTATTTTATAAAAAAATATTTCCACCATTATAAAAATGGTAGTGCAAATTAATACGAAATATGTTAATAAAATTTTTTACATAATATTCAAAAAAAATGCGAAAAAATTTATAATAGTTTAAGGTTAGTTCCAAGTAAAAATTTTATGCATATTTAAATTTGAATTCTTTAAGCTGCAATTCTTGTGCTCTGGAATCCTGAAAACACTTCAATAATAATGTCCAAAATGCCCTGACGGTAATAATCATATTATTCAGTAGTTCTACCGTAAATATTATCGCTGCTTTTTTATTTATGGAAACTTTTGTATACATACATACATATACATTACAAACATACATATATAAATGTATACATAGATATAAAAATAAAAAAAAAAGAATGCAATGAATTCATAATAATTGCTATCAAACTTTTTGTACAAATTTTTCTCTCTTAATAATCAAACTTTACTAAAACTAAATATTCAAAAAGAATTTGCTCAGGATTATATACAACATATTCATTATAACGTAAACTTGTATTTATATCGTGTCTTAATTCAAGTGTACCACAAGGAACTTCAACACCATATTTTGTACGAATGTTCTCATTTTCTCTATGCTGATATTTACCAATTCCTTTTACACAATTTTTACCATATGGTAGATTTACAATCTTTTCACTTTTTGTTAGAACATACTCATCACCTAATGCTACTTGAGCTAATATCAAAAGACCATATGGATCGGTTGTACTAGCTTTACAATATTGTGCAGATTTAGTAATTACATCAGCAAAATAAATACCATTGCCAAACATTTTGCCAGTCACCGAAACATTAGACGGTGGTAGTGTTAGCAAACCTTAAAAAAAAATATAAATATAATTTATTTATTTTTATATATAATTTAATCTTAATTACCACTTGACAATATTGAAATATAATTTGATATTTGTGTACCGTGCCATAACAATTTTCGATTTCCTAATTTTTTGAGTGGCTTGAAATCTTTTAATTTTCCCCATCTGTATCCTACATATATATGTTCAATTGATACTTTAAAAGAATGTGTTGGTCCTTGAGAATTTTTTACATATTTACAAATCATTTCATAATCGGGTTCATCTTTTGATAGTAATTTTATAGTTGTTTCAAGTTTCTTTAATTTAAGTAATGCTTTTTGATGATCATTATCAAAATCTAAACATATAAAGAGCCGTAATATAATTAAAAATTATTTATGTATTTCATTTTCAATAGTTAAAATTTCAACAACATACATACCATCTTCAAAAAGTAATTGTAACAGTTGCATTACAGGTTTAGAAAGTATTATACGTTTCCCATCTCCAAATTTTTTTTCGTGTACTACTGGAGATGATGTTAAATTTGAACTAGTATTTGAAATGAATCTGGAATGGTTATTTTGATGTTTTGATTGATTTAATTTTCTTGAAGTTAACGAACTTGCACCATTTTCCTTAATTTGATTTGAAGCATGTGAAGCAAATGTATTTTGAACAGAGAAAGAACTTTGATTAGTAGAAGGACTTATTCTTCTATTATTTTGGATGTGTGCAATATGAAATTGGTTTGGTATATGCGAAGAAGTTGAGTTTCGAATAATTTTAGGCTTAGCTAGTTTATCATTTTGCTTACTTTTTTGTATTTCAGGTAATGATGTTAAATTTGTATTAGTATTCGTAATAATCGTTGAAACATTATTTTGATTAAATGCATTTCTATATTGATACATTAACGATGCTGGAACAGTATTAATTGTACTATTTTGAGTAACAATTTTAGTTAAGGGATATATTTTACCATTATTTTTATCTAGTTCAGTTCTAAGTTTATTTATTGGTACATATTGTGAAGAATCAACTTTATCATTTTGGCTTAAAGTTTTTCTAGATTCATTTGATCTATATGATGAATTTGAATTTTGAATAGCATTTGATGATTCATTTACTCTAATATTTGAATGTACATTTATATTTTGGTGCAATATATTTGAGCAAGATGATTTTTCAGCAGTACTTGGTGTTGTCACTCCAATATTTGACTGAAGTACATTTCCAAACGAAGAGGATGAATTTTGAGCAGAACTAGATTCGATGGTAATTGATTTGTAATCATCTTTACGTATTATTTTCCCCTGTAAAATTTTAAAATCTTTTTTAAACTCCAAAATTATATGTACAAATTTACATTAAAAACATAATTTATACAAAAAAAAATTATTTAGAAAAACAATAAAATTAAAATAATTTTATTCTTTATTTTTGTAGGAAAATATTACTGTTTAGCCTTTGTTTGTAATGTAATGTTTTCATATGTGCATATACATATATGTGTACACGTATACATATGCGACGACCACATTAAATTTTTTATTTACCCATATGTGCAATATTTGTATGCATAAATACGAAAAATAAAAATTTTTAATTTTTGTAATAAATAAAATTTGATAAAAATTTTATATTATAAAAAATGTAGTTGGTTAAATACGATATCAATCGATATCAATATAATATCATCGTCGCTTACATTTGTACATACATATACATACATAATTACATATAATTACAAAAAATTGTCTTCTATTATAACACTATAAATTATATACATACACAACGATTACACTTAAATTATGCACCTATTTTCTGTACTTAGCTGATTTATTAACTCTTTAAAGTAAAAAATAAGTGATTTTATTTTGAAAAAACAAAATAATATACTAAAGTATGTCTTATATATATTGATTACTAAATTAACTGTATCTATATAACGTGCATGTATGTATGTACTTACGTCAGAAGGTTTTGGAAAACAACAACCCATGTCTTATTTAAATATTATAATTTCTTTTAAAATAAATTTAAATACTTTATTAAAATTGATTAAAAAAAATAACCTATGTAGTATAAATTATTTATACATTGTTAATTTAGCAAAATGAATGCATTATCAGTAATGCAATTTTAATTTGTTAAAAAAAAAAAAAACACCAAATAAGTAACAATTTAACAAGTTCAGAGCACAAACAAATAAAGTTTCAAGTCGCAGTTCGATTGAAAATTAATTTATAACTAATAATTTTGAGTGCAAACAAACTCTATATACTCGTACTACTGAAATTTCATTTAAATTTCTCGAAGCTTTTCTGTATAACAAAATTAAAAAAAAAGAGTATACAGGGTGTCCGGGACTCAATGGTATTCCCGAAGCAGGGTGATAGAATACATGCAGACGAACAAAAAACACCTAGTGACATTTTCCTTTTTGGGCCCTTGTTCTCGAGTTATGGGGCCTCAAAGTTGGAACATCCAAAAACCGGCTTATTTTCACATTTTTATTTATAACTCGGGAAATGTGACAGGTAAATCCAATCTTGTACACTCGTTTTAAAGCTAATGAAATACTCATTCTAACGGTTTACCAGCGGTTGCAAATGCTTTTTTTAGTTTCAGAGATATTTAAGTGCAAAGTCAAAATTTGTTAAAAATTTTTTTTTTAAATTTTCGTTTAACTGTCATTTACTCATAATTCCTTGTTATCAACCTATCATTTTTTTTACAGGAAGACGAGCCCTATATTCTGACCTTCATTTTGATATGACATAATGTGGGAAAAATTTTAGAAATAACATGTCTATCAGGCGAAAACTGAGGCCAAAACCTTAAAAATTAACTAAAACAACGTATTTTTCAAACAAAAACAAATTTTTTTAATCTTTATTGCGCAGTATATGCATTATTAACATGCACTTTTTCTTTTCCAAAACGAAAGACATTTGCATTACCTTTTTTTCTCCACAAAATATTTCCAAAAGTTTCAGGAATATCGTGTCTACGGTGATCAACCATTGAGTCCCGGACACCCTGTATACACTTTTATATGAAACATTTATACTAATGGCTCAAACTAACCATAATGTAATTTTAATTAATCTGAATTCGACTAATAAAATGCAATACTAAAGAGAAAAGTTTACAGTTAATTATACAATTATTTTGGCTCTCTGAAATTATTTTGAGAAAATAAACTATTTTTTTTTTTTCTTGTTTATAAAAACATTGAGGAAATTTTAGTTCAATTGTTTTAAATAAATAGCAAAAATAAAATTAAAAAAAAAAATGCATTTTCTACGATTTCATCAAAATTTTTTTTTGTATTTACATGAAAATATTTTAAATACTTAAATTAATATTATTTGTACGCATCATTTTTAAAATATTTAAGGGAAATTTTTTTGGGGGAATATTGAAATTCCAACAGAAAATCTTCCGATCATAAAAAAAGGTAATAATTTAAAAATTAATTGAATATTTTAACTGGTAACATTGCCTGTAAAATTAATTACAAACAATATTATTTAACATAATCAATTTCAACACTTACAACTACACAAATGATTTTTTTATAAAAAAATTTTATAATTTTGTAAATTTTTGAATTTTGCCAAAATTCCAATAAAATTAAAATTATTTTTTTGAAAATTAGTGATACGAAAAGTTTAATATGATTTATTATTACTACCAATTTCCAACTATTTTAATAAAAAATAATTATAATTAAGTTCTTAAATTTAATAAAGAATTCATTGTATATAAACTGAGAGTTATTATACTGTTGTCATACCGTTAAACAATTATACGTATAATATATGTGTATTTATGTGCATATTTACGTATATATATATATTTTATTATGTAACATTTAATTATTATTAGTTATAAGTAAAAATAATAAATTGTACATAATATATTGTACTTAAAAGGTGAATTGTATTATAAACTGATTAATAATAATAGGATATCTTGAAAATTAAATAATATCCAAGAGATAAAGACTCTGATATCCAAAAAAAAATTTACGAACTCTATAACTTTAACAATGGTTAAAGTAAATATTTAAAATACTTGTATAATATAAAATAATATACAAATTATTATTTTAAAAAATACATAATAATTATTTTATAATATTATATTAAATACTATTTGAAATTTAATAAGTACAAGTAATAGCATAGATTGAGTCAACATTTATATCTTTGCAAATATACGATTAATTAATTTGAAATTTCACGAAAATTTCTATATATATAACATTAAAAATTGCTTTTTTTTTAATTTTTGTTTTAATAATAATTTTTACATCTTAATAATAATATTACTTGTTATGATAATAATACAAAACACAATTAAATTGTTCAGGCACTATTGCCTCTATCGTATAGCATTTTGAAAAATTTATTATTCTTATTGCAAATATAACATATTCCCTAATTAAGTACCTAACTTTTGGCCTACCACTGATTACAATAATATTCATTTTAATGAGATTCATTCATTATATTATTTTTATTAAAATATAAAAACAATTAAAATTAAAAATTAGTTAAAAAAAAATGATTCATGTTTTTATATTAATTTTTTAATATTTAATTTAACTTAATATATATGTAGGTTATTTACCTATATTAATATATATAATGGTTATTACTAAAATCAACGAATGAACTATAGCTAAAATTTTAAAATTTATAATATCTTAATTTAATTTTAGAATATGTATGAAAAAAATTATGTTTTAAATATTAAAAATGTGACAACAGTTTTTACATATATTTTTAATAAAAACTGTAATTTGTTAACGATAATTGAATTTTACTAATACTAAATATTCAATTAAAATTTGTTTTTCATTATAAATAATATATTCATTGTAATCTAAAGCTGTCGAAATATTATTCCGGAATTCAAGATTTCCTAATGGAATTTCAATATTAGAATCAATTATAACATTTGATTTATGTTGATATCGGCCAATTCCTTTAACAGAATTTGTACCGCTTGGTAATGATTTAACATTTTCACTTCTAGTCAATTTCAATTCATTTCCTAGAGCCACTTGTGCCAATATGAGTACACCATACGGATTATGTATATCAGCTTTGCAATATTGTGCAGCTTTGGTAACTACATCAGCAAAATAGATACCATCACCAAACATTTTTCTACTCGATACACAGACATCAGGTGGAGGTTTAGTTAATAAACCTACAAAGTTATTTTATAATTTAATAATTAAAAATAATAAAAATAAATAGACACTTACATATTTTATTAAATATAAAAAGTTAGAATAGGTTTTTTTTTTTTGAGTAAAAAAAATTTTCAAATATCCTTTAAATATTTCTTAAAATTATAGAACTGCAAAACTTTAAGGGATGTTCATTTATTTGAAAACAAAATTTTTTTTTTAAATTTTACAGTTTTAATGTAAAAAACTGTTAGAAATGGTAGAATTTAGGTAGGTTTTGGTAGGTAAATTTTCATATAATATACATACATATATACAAGTGATATTTACATACCAGTTGATAATATGGAAACGTAATTCGTTAGCCTTGTTCCGTGCCAAAGCATTTTACAATTTCCTATAGTCTTATAAGTTTCAAAATCCTTTCTTTCTCCTATTCTCTCCGTTATATATATATCTTCAACAGATATACTGAATGTATGAGTAGGACCATGGGTATTTTTAATATAATCAACAATCCTATCGTAATTTATATCATTTTTTGATAATGATTTAATATCCGATTTAAGTTCTTTTAACTGAATATGAGCTGATTCGGCAGTTATTGAATCTAAGTTAAAAAGAAAACCTTCAGAAATTTCTGTTTTATTTAATTCTAAATGTATGTATGTATGTATATGGAAATATTACCGTTTTTAAAAATTTTTTTCAACACCCACATGACGGGCTCCGAAAATTCCATATTTTGATTTGACTTTTCTGATTCCTGATCATCATTATCCTGCAGAAATAAAAGTTTTATTGTAATTATGTATGTAAGTATGTACACCTTATGTATTTTATCAGCTTAAAAAATTTAGTTTTAGTAGAAAATATAAAATAATCGAAAATTCCAGTTATTTTTTAATATTTTCTTAAAATTTAGTCTTACATAGTGTTCACGTTCCAGAACGAAAAAGTATTCACAATAATTTTTAGGTTTAGGTACACAATAATTTGTGTACCTAAACCTAAAAATTAAATTTGGTAAATCCCCCAATTTAAACAACTTCAAAATTTAGTGAGTAGATACAGACACAATTTCTTATAGGTTAGGTTATGTCACTTTTAAATATAAACACTTAAAATATTATTCAAATTATATGAAGTTGAAATTTATTATTTTTATATTTATTTGCTAGTTATATTTTAATTTTGTAATTATTTTAAAAAAACGCAAATCAAAAGCACCACATTAATAAAACTTTTTTTTTTTTGACAAATTTCTAACTATTGGCTTTGTAATAATCTAAAATCCAATTACATTACTGCTTACAAATGCGTTTTGTGTACCTATTTAAAAAAACAAAAATATTTTCAAATATTAAATTACTGTACCTCATATTTTGATGATGATGAGTCGCAATTTCCCATTTTAATGCGAAATTTTACACTTAATTATCCAGAATTGAAGATGAAAACAGCAAAACTTCATAAATTATTTAGAATATTCAATCTGTTTAATTATACAAATTTGTACCGCAAGTTAGAACTTTCACCAATGGATATTATTTGCATTATGATTTATGATATGACAATTAGAAGTCCTAGAGTTTAGATAAAGACAAATGCTCTCTTTTTGCAGTCAAAAATTTTTGTTATTTGGCTGTCGTATACATATTTAATGCATTGAAATTAAACATCTCCTATTAACAATTATCTCTTATAACTTTTGCAGAAACCTCATTTTCGCGAAAGGTTTATATTGGGCATTGATTATTGATTCTTTTCCTACTCTCATTCTGCATTTTGCAGACATCATTTGTACCAATAACAAGCCCAATTTGATGAGAAAACAAAGAAACGATAAAAAGAATAAGTAAGCTACGTTTATACCATAACATTTTGATTTATAAACTACAAATAGAGAAAAAGTTTAGTCAAATACGTGGTACGACTTCTTCAAATTTGCTATATTTTTTTAATTTATGGTTCAATTAGCACAATCTAATTAAGTTAAATTAGTTTTAAATGAACCATTTTATGAATATCTATGTAGATTTACTAAAATGCATCTTTATTATACCCGCATCGTTACATATACGATAAAATCTAAGATTTAATATGTCTGATAATAAACAGTATCTTATAATATACCAGAATTTGTCTGACAGCAAATAATAGAAATTAATCTATTTTATTCAGATTTACTGTCAAATTTTATAAAAGTAAAATGGAGACATTAAATTTTTTGTGAAATTTTTGAACAATTATTAGCTGATTTTTATTTTAGTTATAATTTTTGTACCAAATTATTAGATTCTGACGTAAAGTCGGAGTTATATCCAATAATTAGACTTTATGGAATCGTAGATTTTATCTTATGTGTAAACAGCATCTTCAAATATTATGATATGTTAGATTGTACAAAACTTGAGTTCACTTATATGTTTGCAAATTGTGTGCAAAAAACTTATCTATCTTGGACAGAACTATAATACGACTTATGAGCAATGTCAGTTTACATTTTATGCCTTTTTTAATACATTGTATCATTATTTCTAATATGTATGTGTGTATGGACACACAAAACTCATGTGCAAATGTAAATAATAATAATCAGTAAAAAAATATTTACAAAATTTGCATAAAATTATTATCGAACTTCATTTTATTTTAATTTTTTTTTATGTAAAATTGTCGATTGATCAGTTTTTTTACTAAGCACAATAATTACATATATCGCGATATTAGTCACTGGTTGGTTTTTATTTAGAAAATCTGGATTTGATTTTTCTTTTATAAACATTTCTAACATATCAAAAATATATGTTAGTGAATTGTTTTTAGTAAAACAATTTAAAATAGTCTGTTCTATTTTGGCAATTATTATAGTTTTGCCGTTTTTCGTTGCTTTTACAAAAATCTAATATTCTAAATCTTAAAACGACAATCTATCCATGTTTGTATGTATGTATATACTCGAAAGACAAACAAGATAAAGAAGACTTTATGAGAATTGTAAATTTTAATTTTTTTTTTTTACTTTTAACGGTGTAATGTAGTTTAGTAATCTACCCTCAATTCAACCTATATAGACCTGCTAGAAAAAATTTGCAAGAGATGGTAAATTACACGCTAATTTTTACATTTTCCCTACACACAAACACATGATTGTACAAATTTCAATTAATTACGAAATTAGGCTTCTTGGGCTGTGATTGTAAATTTTATTACTTCAGAATACTTCACAAATAATTTCAGCTTCGTATTCTCATACAAATAATATGCATACGGTATTAGTTTGAAAGTTTCAGAAACATTATCTGATTTTAAGCCATGCATTTTATGTTATAGAAATATTTTAGGTATATATGTACATACATATGTACGTATTTATTGTTGTGCTTTATAAGCCTATCCTACCTGTTCTTGTTATTGTACCTCTATGAAATCCTTTAAAAGAACAAAATTAAAAGACTCATATACAACAAAATATTGTTCTATATAAACAAAATTCATTTATTCATTCTTATACATATTTTTAATATTTTTATAATAATTTACGTATGTGTATATTATGTATGTAATAATAAATGTTTATTTATTTAAAGTTAAATTTAACCAATACTAAATATTCAAATAAAATTTGATCATTATCATAAACGATGTATTCGCTATAATTAAGAACAAGTTCTGGTTCATCACATTTTATTAAATTACCTAATGGAACTTGTGCATGATATTTTGTACGAATAGTTTTTGTTTTATCTGGCTTATATTTTCCAAGTCCTTTAACACTACTTTTTGAATATTTTAATTCTTGAACATCAACACTATCTTTTAAATAATAGTGTTTACCTAGAGCAACATCAGCTAATATTAATATACCATATGGATTTTTTTTAGTTGGTTTACAATATTGTGCAGCTTTCGTAACTACATCAGCAAAATAGATTCCTTTTCCGAACATTTTTCCATTTGAAGCAACATCGGATGGTGGTTCAATTAATAATCCTAAAATATAAAATTTTTAATTATGTATTGTTTTTGGGGAAAAAATTTTTTTAAATCAAAAATGAATAAATGTCAAGTTTGTAAGACTTACATACATATGTATGTATATACAATTACAAAATTATACGTTATTGGTTCTTATATACATATGTATGTAGGAATGTATTTATGCATTTTAATAGATACATATGTACTTACCATCTGTTAAAATTGAAAAATAATTTTCAGTCTTTGTTCCGTGCCATAACAGTTTACGATTTCCAACTTTTTTACTTGGCTTAAATCTTTGGTATTCACCCTGCCTTGAAACGGTAAATATATTTTCTATAGTTAATGTAAAATTATGCGTTGGACCATGTGTATTATTTACATAATCTGTAATCATCTTATATTCATCTGTATTATCTTCAAGTATTCGAATTCTTGTTTTAAGTTTTTTATAATGCTCATAGGCAACAGCTTGATCTCCTTTAAAATCTATGTAAATAATGTTAGTTAATACAAGCATTAATGTGTGTTTGTATATCATATATAAAATGTAAACAGGTATATAAACATATAATACCTTGAATGCCCATATTTATATGTATGTATGTTAGATATAATATATTGCAAAACATATCATACATACATACATATATGTATTGTGTATGCATTTAAATACATGTATGTATGTGCATAAGTAATTGGATAGATTTAAAATAATATTCATTCTTATTATATCCTACGGTTTGGCAAATATAATACATTGCTTCAACAAATAAATATGTATGTACATACGTACATTTTTATATATACATATGTACATATAATTAAATAATATTAAGTATACGTACTCACCTTTATTAAAAATAAGTTCCAACAAGTGAACAACTGGATCAGGAATCTAAACAATTAAATTGGAATTAGTTAAAACTTTAAAAACAAAAAATTTGGGATATCCCCTTATAAGCTTATTCATACTCTCTTTACTCTCGCAAATTGCATGCAAATCACAGGCAATTTCTGTAAACTATCGCCTCTTCGTCAAAATGAAAAAATTAGGTGTCAAATCAATTTTTATTTTATTTAAAAATATTTTTTTTACATGATCAATTCAAATATCTATTGAATTATCTTAATTTAGAAAAAAACAACATTTTGATAATAAATTAATATTTTCTGAATAATTATCAATAAATTCACATTAATCTACTTTCTCTTTTTCAAATTATTTTTTTATTCTTTCTCTTAATTTATTATTTAGAAAGAGTACTTCAAAGTACAGATCAGAGAGTAAAGCAGTAAAAATAAATTTGCGTAAATAAATGAATTTTTTTTTTTCTCTAAACTTACTACATTTATAGAAAATTAATAAACAAAAACTTACTGCTGGCATTGCAAATATGTGAACGTGATTTTTGCAAAAAAGAAAAATATAAGAAAATGATTACAGTGTTTTCGATCACTTTTTTAGAGCACAAACTAATTAATATGAGTGTATATATATGTATATGTGCACAAAATTTTTTTTCTCCGCTGTATGCTCTATGTTCTGTTTTTTTATAATAACTGAATATAACGACTGGTAAAATGGAACTGAATTACTGAACTAATCATAATTTATAAGCTTTGGAGTAATTTAGCTATTTAATTAAATTTTTTATCACTCGTCCGCGTTGATAAAATACTATGTGTGCAGTGTGACTGCGAGTGAATGGATGAGTAATGTAACTTTATATAACATAAACTTTTGTGATACATACATATGTGTGTATTTATTTATTTATACATACATATTATATGCGTGTACATATTATAATTGCCGTTTTACACTGTTCGATGTGTTCATTTAAATGTTGATATTTTTCCTAAAAATACAGAGGCAATAGCAATTAATAGGAAATTTGGTATTAAGAAAATTTCATCTGATTGTGACGTCAGAAGAAACATTTTCTGATTATTTATTTAATAATAATTCAATTGAAATTAATAAAATAGGTGGCAAATTTGGATTAACTAACTAAAATGAAAATCCATGCATAAATATACATATGTATGTATATGTACATTTATGTATTTGGTATCCCTTATGTTCCTGTATGTACACACGCATCAGTAAAAAATATTATCCTTGATTTCCATATTGTTTGTATAATACGACAGCTTAAATCCAATATAGCGTATACATATTGGCCCTTATTATGAAAAAACTATATCGTACGATACACGATATTTCTAATAGCAATACTATCAGAAATATCGTGTATCGTACAATATATTTTTTTCATAATAAGGGCCATTATATGTATATATGAATCGCTGAATTTATCTCAGATTTAAAGCTACAGTAATGTTGTATTTATGTGTTTAATAACTCAATAATTACAAGTTTTAAACAAAATTGGATTTTAAGAAATTTCAACATTTAATTGGATTTAAAGTTCTGTAAGTCTGCTCGCATAGAAATTCACATTTCCTTGCTCACATTATTACTTACATACATATATCAAATGATTGTTATACATCTTTTTATTTATTCTTAATTTCTAAAAATTGGGAACCTCCGGAATAAAACTAGGTAGGTATATTATTTCTTGATAATATAGGTAAATTAAATTATATGTAATTGTTATGCGTCATAGCACAAGAAAAGTTATTTAGTATAATTTTTTGAATTGAATGCAAAATTTTTTATTAATAAAATAAAAACTCCAATATTTAATACTCATATAATTATATATGTAGGTTATATTATATAGGTTTATATTACATATTTGTACATACATATGTCAGAAATTTCATGAAATCTAATAATTAAATTTCACTAATACTAAATACTCAAAAAGAACTTGATCATTATTATAAATTACATATTCACTGTATTCCATAGATGTTGTTAAATTATTTTGTAATTCCAATGTTCCAAGTGGTACTTGTGCACCATATTTTGTACGAACAGTTTTTGTACGATCTGGTTTATATTTACCTAAGGCTTTTGCACTACTTTTTTGATATTTCAAATCAGTTACAGATGTAGCACTTGTTAAATAATAATGTTTACCTAATGCTACTTCAGCTAATATTAATATACCATATGGATCATTTCGATTAACACCGCAATATAATGCAGCTTTTGTAACAACATCAGCAAAATAGATACCATTACCAAAATTTTTACCACTAATACCAGCACTAGATGGTGGAGTAGTTAATAACCCTTAATAAATAATTGAAATTTTTTATTAGAATCAAAAAAAAATTTTTATTTTAGTTTTTTAAATTTTCAATACCATTTGATAGAATTGAAGATAAATTTCGTATTTTAGTACCATGCCACAATAATCTTCTATTACCAAGATTTTTATTTATTTTATATCTTTGATATTCACCCAATCTTCTTGTTGTATAGATCTCTTCAATTGTTAATTTAAAAGAATGTGTTGGACCATGAGTATTTGTTAAATACGTTGATATCATTTTATATTCAGGCATATTAGATGGTAAAATTCTTATTCGTGTTTTAAGTGTTTTATAATGTGAATATGCTGTTCGTTGATCACCATTAAATTCTTAAAAAAAAAAACATTAAGAAAATAATTGTAGCAGAAGAACACTTGTGTACATTATTTGAATATCAAAGAAATTACTTTTTTCAAAAATCATTTCCAATAAACGAATCACGGGCGGAGGAATCTCTTTTTTTTGATTAGATGAATTCTAAAAATGAAAAAATATCGTTTATAACATTTAATATAAATTTTAAATCAAAAAAATATGGGGGAAAAAGGCATTGTCATTTTTGTGTTATAAAATTTATTAAAAAATTTATTATTCTTCAACTTGACAAGTGAAAAATTTACTAAGATAATTATGCTAATTTAAAATCATATTATAACATAAACTATGTTGAATTCATAGGGAAATATTACATAGGTATTTCCTTATACATATTTACATATGTAGGTATTTGAGTTTATACAAGCATTTTAGCCATGCTATTTAAATATCCGGAGTTTCCCTAGTTTAAGATTTCCTTTCGTACATACGCTACATTCTTCATGAATCACTTCTTTATAAAACGAATTAGGCTAATTTGAACTTAGCAGAGCACAAATTTTGATGTTGGTAGTGAAAGTTAAGTATCTATTTATAGTGGCTACTAACTTATCTTATCTTTAACAAATACAACCATTGAATTAATAATTAAATTCACCCGCAAAGAAATTAAATACTTAAAAAAATTGGTCACTTATAAATAAAGTTTATAAACTTACTCTCCTGGGAAGTAGGTACATATATGTATGTATGTACTTACCGCTCATATATGTATGTAACTATTTAATATTTCAATATTTTTTCTTAGTTAATTGCTTTTTATAAATATATATGCATGTATGTATTAATATAATTGAAAATTTGTTAAATAAAATCCTAATTCCTCATATTATAATTGTTAAAATTTTCTTTAAAACCCTAAACAGAAAATTCCTTTTTTTTTTAATTTTTCATGAATATAACTACACACACAAATTGATATTATATATATATATATATATAGGTATACATATATATGATATAAATAATGTAGATACGTGTAAATTGTATGTATAACATTAAAAAACTTACTGAAGCCATTATCCAATAACTTTTTTTATTTCACGTTTACCAGTAAATACGATATTCAATTAATTATAAAGAAAAATTAAAAACTTTAAAAAAATTTACTTAATTAGTTAATAAAATATGAATTATAATATATGTAACTAATTAATTAGTAATTAAATGCAATAACTCAGTATCCACTACCCTGTCTACAAACCAGAAACGAATTAAACCGTAAGCGCAAATCCGTAATATTGCCAGTAACGTACCGCTTTATATGATATGATAGAGAATAAACTATGTATAAACAACAACGAATATGATTGTGTGTGTTCTTTTTATTCTCAATTTTCTTCTTGCGTTGATAAATTGATTGATAAGTACTTATCTAGTCTGCGCTTGGCACACATTCAACAGTATTGCCAGGTTTCAAATATAATGTAAAGAACTTTATGTAATAAAAGGGTAACGATGAATTGCATATTGCAGTAATAAAATTTTTAAATTTGATTCCCATTAATAATAAATTACTAAAATATAGTATTAAAATGGTTTAGAGCTCGATGTAATTTAATAATAATATTTTGTAAAAAATAATTATTATTAAATTTTTCTTTTTTTTAATAATCCATTTGCATTTTGGGTTTTGCATGGGAAAAATTACTTAAAGCTTCATAATTTTTATAATACATAAAAATGAAAGTTGAAATTAATAACATATTGAAACTTCATACATATACTCGAAATTTTAATTATGAGCTCAATTATACAAGTCGACTGCAATTATGTAAATTTATTCGTTTTTAATAAGTCGATTGAAAAAAAATCGTTCCAAGCATTACAAAAGACTCAATAAATTTGAACTCTATCCAACTACAAGAAAATACATAGCCGATTTTCAAAATCAACACTGATAACAATGTACATAGATAAATAATGTCACTTTTATAGATAATTATAAATTTCGAAATAAAAATCGATTTAAAACATAAAGTTGGTTTTGAATAGATTTCCAAAATTAAGTTCTATAATTTTGATTACAAGTATTTTTTAAACCCTCTAACGCTTAAGAATTTTATGAGAAAATTGGCATTCACTATGCTAAACGCAACTGACGTCAATATAAAATAACGTTCGTTTAGATCGATTGTCAGCGTCATACGTCCGGTGTTGTCATGTTTATCAAATTTCCGACCATTTTTTTAATGCGAGCATTTTTTAAATTCTCAAAAAATTCTTAATGTCAGTAATAAAAGTAATGTTGAGCAAGTTAAAATATGTATGTGTATATATATTTTGTTGTAAAAACAAAATCATATGGGTGACATATGAAAATGTACACTTGTTTTTTTGTTTACAATTTGCTAAAAGATTTTATGTTATTGTTATCGGAAAAAATAATGCATGGCTATTTATTAAACTAGAATGAAAATAAATTAACTGTACATATACTGTTTCTGTTAAAATATATTTTAACATTTTATTAAAAAAAATAATTATGCAAAATTTTATTTTATATACATAACATATAAGTATATATTTTAACATTGATATAAAAATTATAATTTATGAAATTATACTGTACAAAAAAACGAGAAATGCAGAAACTATAAATAATTGACTTATGATTTATTTATTATAAAAAGTTTCTTGAACATTTAAATACACTCATCTGAGCTCTTTACAATTATATAAAATATTATATTACAATTAAATTTAAATACATACATATATGTATATAACAAGTACACATCCATACTCAAATGTACATACATCTTATATTCCCATGTGGTCACGAATTCTAATACAGTTACCATTTTTATTTGATTCATTATCAATGTAAAATAAAAAAATATAGTAAAAGTAAATAAATCTTTTATTAACAAGCGAAGATTCACAATTACTTCAATATTCTTATTTAAACTGCTCATAATTTTTGGTAAAAGAAAAATAACATTAAAAATGAAATTTAACTAATACCAAATATTCTACGTATACTTGATCATCATCATATACTATATATTCAGAATAATCTAAGCTGGTTCCTATACTATTATTAAATTGTAATTTCCCAAGTGGAACATGAGCATGATGTTCTGTTCTTACTGTTTCTGTTCGATCAGGTTTATATTTTCCTAATCCTTTTACACTTTTCTTTCCATATTTTAAATCAGTTACAGTTTTAGCACTTTTTAAGTAATAATGTTTACCTAAGGCAACTTCAGCTAAAATTAAAATACCATATGGATCAGATCTACTTGTTTCACAATATCCAGCTGCTTTTGTAACAACATCCGTAAAATAAATTCCATCACCAAACATTTTGCCATGAATACGAGCAGTGGATGGAGGTTGCGTTGAAAGTCCTTAATTTAGAAAATTGCAAAAAAAGATATTACAAAAAATTATAGAATAATTTTGATTAAAACTTTTAAATAATTACTATGTAGTTTTGTCAAATTAATAAAATATTATATAAGTATATAATTAAATTACCTACCATTAGCTAAAATTGATTGAAAATTAGATCGTTTTGTACCATGCCATAATAATTTTCGATTTCCAAAACTCATATTCGGTTCATATCGTTGAAATTCACCTAATCTTCTTGCCTCATATACATATTCTATTGTTAATTTAAAAGAATGTGTTGGTCCATGAGTATTTTCTATATATTTTGAAATCATTTTATATTCAGGTGAATTTGGAGTTAATACTCTTATTCTAGTTTTAAGAGTTTTATAATCGTTGTATGCATTTACTTGATTACCATTATATTCTAAACATAAAAATGGTTTTATTTTATTTTTTAATTAAGTAGTTTTGGTAATTAAAAATTTTTACATACTTTTTTGAAATATATTTTCCAATAAAACCATAACAGGTTGTGGAAGTTGTTTTTTCTTCTGTCTTGAATTCTAAAATATAAAATTAAAAATTAAATTAATATTAATATTTAATAATATAAAATAATCAATTTGCTTGTCTAAGTACATAATATGTATCTGGATATTTAAAGAAAGAATTAGAATATTTAAAGAAAGAAACAAAAAAATATTAGAATTTTTATAAATCAAAATTCTACTTTTCATCGTGCACACTAATACGGACAAATTTTTAAAGCAAAATCCTGTTATTTAGCGGCGCTTTATGATTTATCACATATTATTTTATAAAATTTTGTTACGAGTATGTTCATGTTTTTGGCCTTTCGTTAATATGGAAATAGAGATTTTAGAAATCTAAATATTGCAATACAGCTGGGTACCTATGTACCTACGTTTGAATAAACACTAAAGGTTATCCACTATATACATATTATAATTCTAATGTGCATATATTTTATGTCAATTTAATTACAAACTTATTACATACATATATCTATTTGAAGCAATTAATTTTATACATATATTTATATAGGTTTTTGCACATACATATATAGTTACATATTTATTTTTGATAAATCAATTTAAAGAAGTTATAGAACATTAAAACTTAGTAGGTAGGTACCTAAGAGTCTTAGTACAAGTATAATAGCAAGTTTAATCAAAAAATTCTAAAATATTTGTAAGTAGGACCTAAATAAGTGCCTATATACCTATTCAAATTCCATTCTAATCTATTTTAATACAAAATTTTCAAATATACATATTCAAAATTGACATTTACTAATATTGAATATTTCTGACTCTTAGTCCAACTCTTATAAAAAAAACTAAACACTGAATTTTATTAGTGAATTTTGTTAGTAGTACTTACAACATAAGAAGAAGACATTTTTTATGTTTTAATTCTAATAATATCAAAAACACTTTAAAAAAAAAAATCTACACAATAGCTGCTTAATGGAATATTTTAATAATTTAAACGGACTGAAAGCTCTAATCAAACTAAAGCGTTTTCATTTCTCCTACTGAATTTCTTTTCTTTAACAAAAAAAAAACAATTATTTATAACTTATTCTCTTTAATCAGTTTTTCACATACACAAACATATTTATTGTAATTATTATAAAATAAATTTTATTATTTTATTAAGTTAATTTTGAGATAAGAAAATTTCTTATACATATTATATTAGATATATAAACACATACAATATAAGAGTACTCCCAATATAAGTGTACATATGTATATAACTAAATTTATACAAAATAAGAAATCTCACCATTCCAAAATACTATGTACGTTGCTTGAGCACAATGAAACGTGTATTTTTTTTTCTTTAAACCATTTAAAAAATACCAAACTGATAAAATAATATTTGAAAAAAAAAAAAAGTTCCGGAATTCCCAGATTTGATTCATCTGCTGACCACAAAATATTTTATTGTGTGTTTAAACTTTTTCGATGCGAAAATATGCATAAGCATAAGTATAATATATACACAAGTACAATATAATTTACGTTTACGCATATTGGTGTAGCTGTTGATCAAAATATGATTCACCACATTATTTTATTTTACGTTCTCATTTTGCAGCATTTTTATTTTTTCTCTTATTATTCTCTTATTATTTATTTATGTTTCGTATGTAAAAATTTTCTCTTTGTTAAAAATACATGACTCGCACACATAGTATGTTTTTTTTTTTTTGAAATTGAAAGTGCATATCAGTGTTCGGCTCTGTTTTGATAAGAACTATATTGTTTGTATTGTGTTTTCTTTTCTTTTCTTATAATTCTTTTGCTCTTTTCAGGCAAACATCAGTGAGGAAAAATTTTTTGCTGTATTATTTTTTTTTTCTTTTCAATTTATAATATTGAGAGAGTAGCTTTTTATTAATTCAGACATAGGGCAGTATGGCACAGCTGATCAAGAATAAAATATGTAAACAGAGAATTATTTATTTATTTATTTAATACTTACATTTTTTTTTTAATAAAGTGTATTTGAGTATGTTATGTATTTGTAAGGTCTGCAATTTATGAGAGGTGCTACCACATATCATGCCATCGCATATTCGCACTAAGTAATTTATATTTAAAAAATTTCATATATGTACATAAGTAATGTAAATGTGTACTATATCACAAAAATCGAATTATTAACGTTAAAAAAAAAATAAAGGGAAAATCCCATTTTACAAACTTCATTCTACAATGACTTTTCAAATATATGTATGTATGTATATACATACATACATTGCAAATAAGTAAAAATAAATGGTCTTGCTTTTATTCATTATTTTGATACAATGGTTTGTAAAACCATTCCATCAAAATAATCCAATAAAAAGATTCCGCAAAAAATGAATTGGCAAAATGTTGTTTTCAAAAAAAATTAATTTCGTAAATAACGTGTTTTCGCTTATTTTTCGTTCTATATTAAGTGTCTAGTTTTTAAAGTTTATTCGAAATTTAAGGATAAAAAATAAAGCATATAAACTTGAAACTGTTATACTTTCTATAATAAATATGAAATTAGTAGGAAATCATTTAAAAAGGATATAATATCGTAAGCATAGAGGAATTAAAAGGATAAAAAAATATCGTAAATTTAAACTAAATTTGCTTTTGGTTGTTACCCAAAATATAAACACACAAATGTGTGCATGTATTCAAGATATGTTTTTGATAGCAATGAATATTTCGATATTTAAAAAACAGGGAAATTTAAGGAAATTCTTCAGTCAAAGAACTTATTTAGCTTCTTTTACCGTAATTGAAAAATGCCCAAAATAAAAACAAAATGCAAGCAATTATTTTTACAGTTTTACCGTTTTATGTTCTATCCGGTTATTATTTTCTTGTTTACGATATTGTGAAATTATATTTTACGGGAAACAAATTACTATGGAAATTTTAATCTTTTCCAAATAAGGAATCAATAATGGATTAAGATAAAAATGAAAAATGTTGTTGAAAAATGGTACTAAATTTATAACAAGCAAAAATGCTTACATACATACGAGTAATATATAAAATTAATTTATATGATTCTAGGATATCTTTACAAATATTTGTAATATATTCGAAGAGGACAAGTTTTTTATTAAGCTGAAATTCGATTTTAGGTCATTCAATTCGAAATTGATGAACACAGAAAAAAAACACAAAATTATAAGGTTTTTGAAATTTTCAAATTTTTATATAATTTTTATTACATAGTTATATTTATTATAATTATTTAAAAAATAAAAAATGAATATTTATAATTATTAGTTCGTTGTAATTAAAATAATAATAAATATTTAATGTATTATACACATTTTATTAATATTATCAAAATAATAAGCACAATAATTCTTTGCATAAACATTCATAAAATGATAGTCTTTAAGAAACCTAGGGATAGCCTGCCCCTCCAGACTCAAACGAAAAATTGCACATTTTACGTTATTAATTGCATACATATGTATATAAGACTTAAATAATCGAGCGAAATACTTAACATTAAACCTAATATTTTAATAGTTCATTTTTATGATTTGAGGTTTGAAAGAGTTGATTAATGAAATCCAAAGTAATAAAAAATATGTTCTTATCTAATTTTAATTAAATTTTTTAGAATTAATTATGTTACTCTATAAAATATAATGTTCAATGAGTTAGGAATTTCGTTTAGGACTTTATATTTATATTTTTTCAAGTTTATACACCTTATAGCATTATTTTATATTATTGAAATATACAAGATTATATACTGCAACAAGACTTGCTATATATATTATTAGATATTATAGTAGATGTGTTGCATTATAATTACATACTTTTATTGAAAATGCTACCAAGTATCAAATTTTTTATACATATTCTAAAATTATAATCCAACTGAGTCTCAGTAAATACATTAAAATAGTTAACTTGATATAAATTTATAACATATACTTAATATTTTATGTATTAATGCATATATTAAGCAGTCTACTTTTGTATTACATACATATATAGAACATATTTGTGGGTATATATATTTATTAATACAATTTTTTTTTTTTTTGTTTTAATCATAAATGAATTTTAGTTGAACTAAATATTGTAATAAAATTTGATCAGCATTATAAACAATATATTCATTATATTGAAGGCAGCTATTATTATCAACTGTTATTGGATGACCAATTGGTATTTGAACACCATTATGTGAATATATATGATATTTTGGATCTGGTTGTAATTTACCATATGCTTTAACACTATTTTTACCTTTTGGTAATTCTGTTACATTTTTATCTTTTGTTAATTTATATGTATTACCGATAGCAACTTCAGCTAATAATACAAGACCAATTGGATTATTTTTATCGGTACCACAATAATTAGCTGATTTTGTTACACAATCAGCAAAATAAATTCCTTCACCAAACATACTACCAGTTTTTTCAGCTTGATGTGGTGAAATTTGTAATCCTATATATTTAAAATGAAAGATAATTAATTTTCATCTAATTAATAATAATGTCTGTATTTTATGGTCAAAAAAAAATATAAAATTTTTATCAATTTAATTTATTCAACAATATGTTGATTATAGTTATTTAACAATAATTTAAAATTTCTGACCATATGAAGTAAATATAATTGAGAATTAATAAAAATTAAATTACCTTTTGATAATATTGAAGCAAAATTTACTAATTTTGAACCATGCCATAATAATTTTTTAAAACGAATTTTATCTTTAAATTCTTTATATTTTGAAAATTCACCATATCTTGATATTTTAAAAACTTCCATAACTTCTAAACGATATTTTGAATGTGTTGGACCATGTGAATTTCTAACATATTCTACAATTTTCTTATATTCATTGCAATCTTTTTCAAGTGGA